GAGAGAGAGAGAGAGAGAGAGAGAGAGAGAGCACCTGATCTCATATTCATTTTCTGCTGCACGTCGGTTGTAATGAATGGTGTCTTGAACCCAATTGTGTCTGACAACATGGCGCTTGTGTGATGAAAGCAATGCCCGAAGATCGGATGGGAAACTGCAATGATTGGCACCAGAAGGCATGGGCAAGGAATCCAACCAATCATTCACAATTTAATACAGACACACACACACACACACGCACACACACACACACACACACACACACACACACACACACACACACATAACGGTGAGTCGTGAATGTCCGGTTGTCGAGTTGTGTATTAGCAAACATGACAACACACACATTGTGTATTAGCAAACATGACAACACACACACACACACACACACACAATGAAAGAAAGACACACACAATGAAAGAGAGGTGAACAAAACCCACCTTCCAAACAAGCATCAAGAGAGAAAAGGGAAACAAAGCCAAGGATAGCTCATGCTATGGTTGTCAGTGTTAATAACTTAATACAGGATTTTCGCCTGCTGGACCAGAGAGTTCAATAATAACGAGAAATCCGTGAGAATCTGCAATTGTAATCTAAGGGGCCATTAATATCATACAGGCACCCACCATGCAATCAACCCAATCTTCACCCCCCCCCCCTCCTTTTCTCTTTTTATTTTACTTCTTTCTCACCCCGAATTGTGTAATGAACCCAACTTCAGAAGCTTATGCGAGGATCTGGGTCCTCAGCAGGCCTAAGGGGCCCAGTTGCAAATGTGCCCACCCTAAGTGAAGGCGGGCCTAACAAATCACGAGAGGCCCTCATGCTGCCAATTTCGTATTTGGGGTCCAGGCAGTTGTGACGCGCCAGTTGGTTGAGGGAAACACAGGCCGAGCAACAAAAACATTCCACGACCATCTGGGACTTTCCAAAAATGCAGGCCCTGGGCGAGAATCGCAGCCTCATATACAGACAGTTGGGAGGCCCAACTGAATGAGGGGCAGTAACTGCAACAGAGGCGCAGCATCCTGGGACCTACCGGATGCTTCTGGGCCGAGGCCCAGGCCAGCCAGTCTGCGAAGTCAGGCAGGCTCTTTCCATATAGGAAAGAGCTCGCTGCCTGGAGCCCCATTCAGCACTTGCATACTGGCGGCAGCGCTGCTGGAGCGAATGCTCGTGGGCTGCTGCTGGCGCTGAGAGGCAAGGTGCTAGCGCGTGCGGTCGTGCAGGGAGCAGGGTGCTGCTGAGGGCAGCGCCATAGCCCAGCCTCCATAGCAGCACTTTCATGTTTGTTACATAGCTCCTTTGTGACCTCTCCACTGAGGAGGGAGGGAGACAAAGGAGGAGGAGGAGAAGCAGCAGCAGCAGCAGCAGCAGCAGAGGAAGAAGAAGAATGACGACGATGACGATGATGATGGTGGCGGCGGCGATGACAATGAAGAAGAAGAAGAAGAAGAGAGAGAGAGAGAGAGAGAGAGAGAGAGAGAGAGAGNGAGAGAGAGAGAGAGAGAGAGAGAGAGAGAGAGAGAGAGAGAGAGAGAGAGAGAGAGAGAGAGAGAGAGAGAGAGGGGTGCTGTTTCTTAGAGGAGGTGAGGTGGTCCACAACCGTGATAGCTTTACCTCTTTGCTATGTTTGTGAATGACAGTTGACGATCTGGTGGGACAAAAATGATCACATGAGTGGTAGAAGGAGACAGGCCTTCAGATGTCTTTCCGGAATGCCATCCGATCTCAAGCTTCAGTCTCTCCAGAGTGCATGTTGCAACAGCTTGAGAATCCCGGTTACTTTCCACCGTCCGATCAAATTGTGCAATCAACAGTCCGATTGAATGCGACCATGCCAAACAAGTTTTGATAGAGGAAAAACGGCGTTAGCAAGTTACCCGTACATAATGGAGCGGAGGGGAGGGGAGGGGGGGGGGGGTTGGGGAGAGGAGGGAGGAAGAAAAAGAGTTAAAGGCACCTCAAACTGCATAGAGAAGCACCAGGACAAGTGTGTAAGTTTAATGCAACTGAAAAGTTACTGCAACAAAAGAGAATGCCAGAAAAAAACTCAATGCGACAACAAAGTTGACGTAACGAAAAAGTTCATGCAACAAAATCACACTACAACTTCACGGGGAAGAAAGTACAACTCCAGACAGTTTTGGGGAGATGTAGATTCCTCTACACCCCTGTGCAACAGAACTCCCACCCTTTCAAGTTTTATTCCTAATCAGGTAAGCATCACAGGCACATGTTTTTTGGGTGCATCCTCATCACACCCAAGTCTCTGGGCCATCCGTGAACTGGTGGCGATCAAGCAAGACATCAGCACGGCGATAGGAACCTACCAAAACCAAACATAGAAAACAAGCACGACAAAACCGGGACATGCAAAACCGGGACACACATAGCTGGGGAGATGCCAAAACGGGACATTGACAAAGACGCTATTAATAGCGCAGGATCATTCCAAGAAGCTCGTGTGAATTGAAATGCACAGTTCTGAGGAGCGAAAAACCAGGAGTCCCAAGAGCCCCAGAGTGCCAGAGAGTCTGAGACTTTCAACACACAGGCATTGGTACCACACCACACCGTTATGCATCCCGGCTGGCACAAGCCAAACACTGCTAAATTGCGAATCTGGTGAACACAGGTCCAAACTTTTAAACGACCTTCGACCCCTACCTCGCGAAAAAAAAAAGCTCGGCCAATCCCCGCAGATTCCCAGCAGATCAGAAAGATGAATCGGTGGCCGTCGGATTGCCAGGCCAGCAAACCAACTGCCAAAAGCGCGTACCTCCTGGTGATGAAATGAGGCAAGTATTCGTCAAGTTCCACGTCGCATACATCAATGAACATTCAAATGAGAGATCACACGTGAGAAGCCAAATCAAGATACTATCAACTCTTGAAGATGTCGTCTCCAATATGAATGTTCGTCTCCAGCGGCTCTGCTGCACACACACGCACAACGGATCTCTACCAGATAGCGGCTATGACTTCTCTCCTCTTCTCTCTCTCTCTCTCTCTCTCTCAGGCCTTGTCCACTCTCTCTGAGTGCGTCTTCCCAACCTCTGATGTGCATGAAATACTTAAGTTTTGACAATATTAGTAGTATTATAAATTATTAATAAATTAATAATAGTATCGATGCCCAATCCCAAACCAGGAATATAGGACGGGTGTACCTTTCCACCTCCCAGAACAATAGACATGCAACATTTGGAGAGTGGCAAAGACATTTGGCAATAATGGAACCCAAACGGAGTTTGGGGTCGGGACATCAAAACCAAAAACCGTTAAGAGTTAAAAGTTAAAACCGGAATAATACAGAGAAGATTGATTAGTGACACTTCTTTTTCTTTTTGTGTGTGTGTGTGTGTGCGTGTGTGTCAAGGTGTGCTGCGCAGCCATGCTTCAAGGATGACACATTTCAATTGGGAAAGGGTCCCCACTTTCTCTCAAATAATCCGCAATTCAACAAGGAAGGATTTTCGGGTTGGGGGTTCCAGATGACGACAGTGTATTACAGCAGAGCCTCTGAGAGATTGTATTATGCCAGGTTGATTGTGGCGCTCCTCTTCCCCCGCCCACAACTCACCTTCATCATGACGGTATCAGACCAGAAAGGTTGCTTGTATACATTCACGATGAGGGTGCATTCGCCGTGTTGTGTTCGGGCAAAGGCTGTAGCCTAAGTTTGATGATTTCACAAGTCTTCACAAATAGGAGTGTGTCAAACCAATGCTGACAGGAATCTTCTATTTTTTGGCTCTCTGCTTGTACTATCTGTATAAGGGACGCTGGACTCAGTTTCCAGCAGGTGTTGCTCCCCACCAATAGACGGAGCCTCTTCCTAGGTGGTAGTGGTGTCTGCTCCTATCAGCACCACTAACATTGAAGGAGAGTTGTTTCAAAAAAAAAAAGAAAAAAAAAAAGGAGTGTGTCAAACCAGGGGTTAACCTCCTCCACCCCTTGCACAAAGAGCTGATGCCCAAGAGGTGGGAGGAAGTTACCTGGCTAGTTGACTGGCCCCCCATTAAATCTCTCGACGTACTGATATAGACTATAGACTATAGACTATAGTAATATAGTTAGTAATATGGATTATATTATAGCTGCAATTGTATAGTCTAATATAGCTTACATGACTATAGTAATATAGTTAGTAATATGGATTATATTATAGCTGCAATTGTATAGTCTAATATAGCTTATAGTATAGCGACAACCGTATACTCTAATATAGCTTATACTATAGCGACAATAGTGTACTCTAGTATGGAGGAGGGGAGGAGGGCTGGGGTCTTTATTGCAGCAAACAGCGGAATATGCTTGCTGCATGAAAGGACCCTTTGCATGCGTTCAACGAGCAGGTCACGTCACTTTACTCCTCCCATCATCATCCAGGGGGGTCGCTGACAAGGGAAGAGGGGGGTGGGGCAAGGAGGAACGAATGGAGCATCCCATAAAGTCATGGACCTAAAGGGATAGACATCAAATGCCACATCATAAAGTGAAGCAGGGTAAGACATGGAGTTCATCGCACGATGTGTTGATCCGAACGAAGGAAAAACAGACAAAGACTCTGAAAAAGTTGAGCAGAGTTTACGAAACGATTCTTCCGATCCAACATTGAGCTGTCGATGGGTTTCATAACTTTCATTTTGGTGCTCTAAATACTGGCCCGATTTGAGGTTCTCTCTTTTATACATACACGGTTTCCTTTTCTTTTCCTTGGAGAACAACATTAAAAACAAAAAAAGGCAAAAGAAAGGCAAAAGAAAGGCAGGCTCTGTCTGTAGAATGTGTACATACGTAGAGTGGATGGGCTTGTGAACATAGATGTTCGCTCCTCCGAAAAGGCACCAGTTCTTTGTGGGGCAATACTTTGAGCGATAATGGTCCACAAGATCCTTGCTGACCTCTTTGCCTAATCCACCTGTAAGATTTGCAAAACACTGTTCACCAAAGGAGGAGGAGGAGAAGGAAGAGGAGGAGGAGGAGCAGGAGGAGGAGGAGGAGGCAGCGAAGGAGAAGAAGAAGAAGAAGAGGAGAGAAGTGAATGCAACCCCTCCCCCCCCCCCCCCCCCCCCCCCCCCGGCAAAAGGGTGGCTGTGAAGTAAAGAAGGGAAAAGAAAAGAAAGAGCATACCATGTGATGGTAGTTGAAGGGTGGATGTGCAAAGATTGAAGTCATGTATGCGGACGGTTTTTTTTTGTTTTTTTTTGGGGGGCGGGGGCGGGGGCGGGGGGGACAGAAATGCTCAGAAAGATGGCAATGGCTGGATCGCCTCAAGGATTTCTTGAGGAAGACGACTCTGTTTCGAGGGCCGCCTTTCTCCTGTTGGGGCTCTCCACAGGTGTCATGAGGTCTTGGCAGGCGGCCATCGTCTTCACATGCTCTCCCTCGTCATCCTGAACACAAGAAAAGTTAAAAAAACGGAGAAAAAAAAAACAAGAAGGGCCACATAATCACAAGCAGGAAATCAGTTGAGTTCAAAAGGCAAGAGAACAGTGTCGGTGTACTTCATGTTGTCTGCTATTTCCCTCATTTGTTTCACAAAGTGCATGCTTCTCGTTGGTCGATATGTGACAACGGGCCTCGCTCCACTACATAACATTCTACACGCATTCGGAGTCTTCGGACTGCTCCAACATTTGGAATGAATCGGGTCAAACTGAGTTCCAGATACATTAATTAGATTGTGCAGTGGAGCAAAGCCCAACATATTTTTTCTCCTGTGTTCCTAGCCCTCTTTTTTCTCTTCCAGATAGAGCGGACCTGTACAACCACCCAGTGGCTCTTTTCTTCTGGAAGATAGATTTTTCCTTTCTTTCACTCCCACTTTTCTTCTGGAAGATAGATTTCCTTTCTTTCACTCTCACTTCCTGCATCACTCCCCTTATCTCATTCCTTTCACTTTTCTTCTGGAAAATAGAGTTCCTTTCTTTCACTCTCACTTCCTGCATCACCCCCCTTATCTCATTCATTTTTCTTCCTCTTATCGTTTCCTTCGTTCAATTTTTTCCCACCCTCTTTTGCTCACAAACCTCTTGCGCCTTTCCCGGGACGTGCATTTTGATTTGGCTGTTTTTCCATGGTCAAAATCAGCTACCTCAGGGAGTACTCACACTAGCTCTATCTTAAATGTATCTGACCGCAATTACAGCTGGATGTAGAATGTACCGGACCGCAGTCACGTCCATAATGGGATGCAGCCAGGCTTGGGATAAATATAATAATTGGCTGCCTGTTGGCGCTGAAGAGGCCAATACATCCTATAGGTCAAATGGTTATTGTTCTCACCTTGCTTGGTGTGTTTTTGCATTAGCCGAAGCTGGGTAATGGCCCCAGTGCTGTGGGAATATAGTATGGGACGCTAGGCCTGGTTCCCAGCACATGCTGCTCCCTACGAATAGATATGTGCATGGCGATTGTGGATGGTCCCATTTGGGACCTGATCTGAAATTTCAAATTTCTCATTTTTTATTTTTATTTTTTTAGCCTCAAGTCGTAACGCCCTGTTTTTTTTTTTTGAAAACACATTGCTTTCTAGTCTACTAATACTTAAAGGCAAAAGCGGTCCTCGGAAGACGCTCCCACGGGACCAGGGAAAAGAAGTCCCACGCTTCGGTTGGATGGGACAGGCCCTGTGCAACGTTTCGTTTTTGTTTTTGTTTTTGTCGTTTAGTGCACACTTTTTCACGGCCCGCTTTGCAGGACGCGGGTTGCACAAAGTTTTTTTCCCTGCGGCCGCGGGGTCGAGTCCGGGAGGGGCCAGGTGGCTTTTGTGGTGCTTTGTCTTGCGGTCGGTTTTTTGCATTTTGCCCTCGATTGCAGAAAGCGGGCAGTGTATATATCCATGTTCCAACTAAAGATCCATTCAATTTTGCTCAGAAAGCGGCCAGTGTATATTTCCATGTTATAGCGAACGATCCATTCGATTTTGCTCATCCTATCGATGGAAGTCGCGTGAAGCCATCCATGCGATTTTGCTCATCCTATCGATGGAAGTCGCGTGAGGACAGCNCAACCCCCCCCCCCCCCCCCCCCCCCCGAGCAGACGGCAAAAGGCCACCACACATGTAACTGTCAGTGAACAGATGATGAGTTTGAAACTTACGAATCCTGATCATGGAATCACATACTGATGTTAGGGGCTACATACACCCCTCTATCTTTTTTGAAGAAAGGAGGCTTAAACTTCTCCGATACACCAGCTGGAGATCGTTAGACGGAGGAGACGTCATGGCGAAGGTAAAGGCACACGAGCTCCACGAAGAGCAAGCAGGACTTGCTCATTCAGTTGAAGGATCTGAGCACAGAGTTGGCTGCTCTGAGTGTCGCAAAAGTGACACGAGGCGCTCCTAACAACCTGTCAATATCAAGGTGGTAAGGAAATCCATCGCACCTGTGAAGGCGTAGGTCGATAGCAATGATGGGGTTGGTTGTGCTGGTGGAGTTGGGGGCATAGCGCAAATCTCGTTTTGTGTCGCTAAGACATCGCCAGTGTTTGACTGGATTCAGAGCTCTGATCGTCTTCTATGTGCATGCTAGGCATTTGCCTTTGATAAATGGGAAATCATGCCAGGTTGCTCATCGTTAGGTAGCATTTATGAACATCATTCTCTTCAATCGTCACCAAAATTACGAGTCGACAAGTTGGGTCATCTGTACTGGTGGAGTTGGGGATGTACAGTTTGACTGGATGAACGCCAAGACCAGGTATGTGCCCTCACATCATCATCCTCATCTCTCTCTCTCTCTCTCTCCCTTGTATTCTCTACCCACGTCGTCTCCCCATACACGAAGACCACCACCACCTCCACTGGATGTCCAAGGCAAGCCCCTGCTATGTAGGGCTGGCTATGGCGCTGCCCTCACCAGCGCCCTGCCTTCTTCCAGCGCCCGCGTGCACTGCTTGGCACCTAATGCTAGCGCACAGCCCACGAGCGCACGCTCAAGCAGCGCTGCCGCATGCACTGCCTACTGCCCGAATGAGCCCACCAGTGGCGAGCTCTTTGCTTTATGGAAAGTGCTCGCCCAGTTTGCTGTCTGGCTGGGCCTCGTGTGTTTCCAGTAGCTTCCGATCGGGCCAAAGTGTCTGTGCCCAGGCCCATTCAGACAGTGGCCTGGGACCGAATTGGTTAGGCCTGCCCAACCACCCAGGAGTAAACGTGACGTTCTCCCTGCTTCGCCTGTGCTGCTGGAAGAGCCTTTTTTTTTTTTTAACACTCCCAGTGACTCCCTGCCTTTTTTTTTTTTTTTATAAAAACACTCCTCCACCAGTGTTAGTGGTGCTGATAAAAGCAGACACCACTAGCACCCGGGGAGAGGCTTCATCTATTGGTGGGGAGCATCACCTGCTGGAAAGCGGGTCCAGCATCCCTTATACAGATTGAATTTGGAGTACATCAGAAAACAGTTGTGGGAAGTTCCTGCCAGCATTGATTACCCTGGGATCCAGGGGATTGACTGAGCAGGATATTGGAAGGAAGGGGGAACCTCTCCGCCCTGAATCCGGCGTCAGATACATCGCTACACCCTAGTTCCCGCTTCAGATTTGCACTATGACTGTAATGTGTGTAAGGCATACTTGCGGCGCATCAACATGCGCTGCACCCCGCACACGCGCCGCACTGCGCACGACGCGCGTGCACGGGGTGCGGCGCACCCCGAAAATAGGGGGTGTTGCATACTTCAATGAGTATGGGCAGAACCAAAGATCAACCAATGTAGGATGAGCATATATGCAGCGGAAGTCTGATAAACGGACTGACTCACATAGACTGACTCACATAGCATCACTCCACACACATACAATCGTGAGATGGTGGGGTCTGGGCCATTCATAGACGATGCCCAGATCCCGTACACGCATCCACAGATGAAAGGTGGGAGGAGAGACGAAGGAGGTGGGGAGGTAGACAACACCAATAGATARAGTCTGATAGGTCTCCGATATGGTAGTCCAAAATGTCATACAACAGGATCAAAATGTCGAGGCCCAYAGGTCACCAATGTCGGAGATACAGAGTCCAGATGTAACCGGTGTCCAACTGTGATGCAGCCGAGTATCAACCTCAACAATCTCCAAGTCTCCAATCAGGTAAGTACCACAGTCTCATA